GTTGATATTGTTTGGAAAATATTGTCGCTGCGCTCAATATTTTCTGTGAGGAGGGGGGATGTGTTATGGTCCACTAGTGGATCGTTCATAACTCCTGTCCATCATAGGTATATACACTCATGTTATGCTGCGGGATGCATTGTTTTCAGAGACTTGATCGCTGAAAATCCTACTTAGAAACTACTTTGGGATACTAACCATGTCAGTTTCAACACCCAGTAATAATCAAAATGAATCGTACTTACATTGAACCCTCGTCAAAATGTTTTCTCATTGTGATTAAATCAGGCTACCTACCCTGTTCTCTGTAAAAGATTTCATCTGATGTGTTTTCGATTTCATATATTATTTCTTCAAGGGGTTATGTTTATTTTGCAAATAAATATTAGCGAACAGCTGTTTAGACTATCTTGTCTTATTCTTCCCGTTTTATATTCGTTTGGCACATCTGTGACCTAGTCGTAAGAAGCGTAAAACCTAATAATATATTGCCAGTAAGGGACTTAGCAAGCAAGGTCTTCAAGGCAAAGCACTACTCACACCACACTCGGCACCTGTCACGGTTTCTATAGTGTCCTGTGAGCGAGCAGCCTGATGTAAATAGGGTTTTTGGAAACGTCAGAGTACCTCCGGGAAGAACGACGATTCTCTCTCTCTCTCTCTAGGGGCCATTTTTCTGAAATGCCACGAAAAGTTCGTGCTGTAGAACTTTTATACAAAATAATGAAGATTTTGGTGATGAAGGCCGATTAACACCTTTGGGCAAGTATGATAAAACTTTTGCAATAAAGTGCACTGAAAATTATAAATCGAACCATAATAAAATACATCGAAAAACACATGCATCATAATGACTTCTTTTCAGGCCTTCATGGTTTGGGTATACCGCCATTTTGGTATAATAGTCGTGTCGTTGTAATACACGACGCCATAATGATGGTGAACAAGGTTTAAAACCCTGTGATTTCAACCACAATTGCTGCTGGTGCAATATCATGTTTGTCCTTTGTTCCTGTTTATGAAAGTTATTTTTCTGGACCCATGCTGATATGCCACTGAGAACAGTTCCCCCGAATTTGGTATATTCCTGATGGATGATGAGATCCGTTTGGTAAAAGCTACGTTACACTTATAGGGATGACCTACTGTAAGTAGATTTTTCACTTAATTTTGCCAACCTGATGAGAAGATGGACTGCACCAGTTGATTTGGATTTGATACTATTACTTATTATTGCCTTTATATACCCTCTCCTTTGTGAGAAAGGGAGTATCAGCGCTGATAGTCCGTTTCATAGGACTTGGTTATATTTTCTAGAATTTATATCACACCTGTGGACCATTTATCCAGTTCTTAATGTTTCCTTTTGAAGCCACAGTGAGGCTAAGTTTAAGATTTAAGTACTGCTTATCTTAGTATATATTTGTACTAACGAATTCTGACTGATGCAGTTTTGTATACTATTGGATCATAAAAGATAACAAAACTGTTGCAATTATTCATAAGATTAAATACTAACAGATTATTCACTCTCAGTAATTCTTAAGCTAAAGTTAATTCTTCAAATACTCCAGGTGTGGGGTCCAATTTAAATTTGAATATTACATATGATATTATTGTAACTTTGAGGTAATTCGGTCATTATAGCATGGATTTAGAAAAACTCCAGTACTGGTGATATTTTTGTTTTGTCTCACCCTATTCTTTCCCAGATAATACTGGGTGGCGCCCACATTTACCTATTTTTATGAAATTAAATCCACGACCATCTCTACTACTGAAGAGCAACCGTGTAGTGAGGCCATAATTTCATCTCTTGTTGAAATTACGTCACAAGAGAAAGCAGATATTTTCAATAACTTTTTCACTAACTTAGGTATAAACATGTCAAATAGACTACCAAAGATGAACCGACAACAAAAAAATTCAGATATTGATAAAATCGACTTCACCATCTTTCGCACCCCAGTATCACAGAACGAAATCACCATCCACATTTCGAATCTCAAAAACAAGTGCTCGGCCGGTCCAGACAACCTAAATGTAAAAATTATAATAAACATTCATGAATACATTACACCCCCTTTGGTTCATTTCATCAATAAATGCTTATGAAGCGGTAAAATTCTACAGCAATGGAAAGAATCAGTCATCACTCCTATTTTTAAGTCAGGTAAACGTGACCAACTAAATAACTATAGGCCTATATCCGTTATAAATAATCGAGCAAAAATATTCGAACCAGTTCTTACAAAAAGATTAATGGATTTTTTCCGCAAACACGATATTATTACAGACAGACAATATGGTTTCATTCAGAATTCAAACACCGAAAATGCAGTGACAGACTTTCTGGAACAAACAGTCAGGGCTTTGGACGAATCATCAAATTGTGTAGCAGTATTCTTAGACCTCGCCAAAGCCTTTCACACAGTTTCACATGAAATATTACTCGACAAACTAAGCCATTACGGCATTCGTGGTTCACCACTTGATGTAATGTCAAACTACCTAACTGATAGGGTTCAGAGAGTGAAAATTGCGAACGAAATAAGTTCAGACTCGAAAGTAAGAATAGGGGTTCCACAAGGAACAGTATTGGGTCCAATACTGTTCCACAAGGAACAGTATTGGGTCCAATACTGTTTCTTGTATACATAAACAGTATTGCAAGAATAGCGGGCTTAGAGGGACACCTTATATGTTATGCTGATGACACAGCCCTCATTTTCACAGGAAAAAAATGGGAAGACGTTAACCGTAGTGCTGAAACAGATCTACAAAAGATTCACACATGTTTGAACTTGAATAAGCTCACATTGAATATTGAGAAGACAAAATTCGTAGCGTTTACGCCGAATATTGTAAAACAACCAGGAAACTTTTCATTGAAATTACACTCCATGCACGTCAAAGATAATAACCCAAGCATATGCCCTATGATAGAGAAAGTAACATCAATAAAATACCTCGGGGTTATCATAGACCAACATATAAGGTGGACAGACCATATAATGCATGTCAACAAACGCCTAAGAGCCCTGATTCATAATCTCCATACCCTGAGAGACATTTTGACAACTAAAAACCTCCTGATGTTATACACCTCTTTAGCCGAATCAATCTTATCCTACTGCATCACAATATGGGGCGGGGCTTTCAACACCACTCTTAATATCCTACAAACAACACAAAACACAATCCTAAAAATTATCTTGAAAAGAAACAAACGTTACTCTACTGATATCATCTACCAGGAAACAAAAATATTGAATATCAAACTACTTTTTGCCCACCAATGATCGAAAAAAATGTACACAAATTATGAAAATTTCCACCAAATAAAAAATAGAATAACCAGATCAAATGTCAATTTTTCAATGCCATCCCAACCGCTCTAAGAAAAATTTCAAACCAGAAAAAATATAATATTGAAACAAAACAGTATATTTCAAAAAACCCAAAGATATTCTACGATATATTGAAATCAACATCTACTTGACAAAAAAAATAAAATGATAATGATACCTGCCTACCTCCCTGCACCATCTGCTTGACACTGTGAAACCTCTACAAAAAAGTATTTATCAAATTACGAAAACCTCAACGAATATATTTTAAATCTATAATCTATTCACTGACTTGACATGATAAATACAAAATGTACGTTGAACTTAAAAGTCCTCAGATCGAGCATAGAGCAAGACAGGCAAAATTTGCCTAGGCTCATTATGCTCTATCTGGGATTTTAATTTAGAAACAATTTATAACACCTGTGAAATGTACTCTATCGAAAGCAATAAATTTGATTCGATTTGATTTAAAGGCAGTAAGAACTGTCACTCACACAATTTTCCACGTGATATCCGGTGGTGTATTTAGATTCTCGAAAGGAGCTGTTTCATTATATGATTGTCATCCAAAGTAATGATTTTTAAAATAGAACACCCTGTATATTTCTTTATATTCAAGAAATTGGTGCTCTTTAAAAATGTATACTCATGATGAATTTCGAGTAAAAGCCTTAAATTCAGATGATCTACAATTTTTCAGTATATTTCTCATTGATCCGCTTTATATATACGTGTGGCAATATTTTTAATATTTTGATGCCTTGAATTTTTATATTCACCCTGACAGACTGTTTGCTGACAGAGTGTTTCGTCACTCAGTACTTCGAATTTTACCAAAATTCATTGTTCACCAATAGTCAGCACTATTTATTGACTAAAAAAGCTGTGGACCTGATTAGTGGGTAGCAATGGAAGAAAGGGAGTGCAGAATGTTGTCATCGTAGGTAGTGCTGTCGAAGTTCAAATTTTTTTATAAAATGGTCAATAATCACCTAGAGTATCAAAATTTCAAGAGATTACCTATATATTATGGTTGGGATATGAGTTGGTTTCAAGTTTTTCGTATAGTTTTGATATCCTGGATTATAATTCGCCATTGGATGAAAACTTCGTGAACAGGTGACAAGAAGAATCTAATTGAATCAAATTTTTTTCATGAGTACCTACTATTAAATTCAAACTTATGTGTTACAAAATACTCTGTCAACAGAAAGGTAAATATTAAAATTAATGATATTAATAATATTGCTAGACTTTTACAAGGCGTATCAATAAGGAATATAGTATAAAACATTCTATATTATCTGAAATCAAGGCTGATACTTCAAATATTGTATTAGTGTTATATATTTTTGAAAAGCGTGAAGCATCAATGATTCAAATTTATAAAAGATTACAGGGTGTTATATTTAGAGAACATAACTTCAGCTCATATAGGAAATCTGACTGTCACTGGATTCTTCGTGAAAAATGTATGAGTGTCAGTTATTACTTCTCCTAAAACTTGAAAGATATCTGAGATACAGCGGCGATCCCAGAATGCAACATTGTCAATTTCGTTTTGTATCTCAAGAACAGAGCGAGCTATGAAAATAATGAATCATTTCCTAGCGGGTTTCATTAATATTCATTTCATTTTATTTCTAGTGAGCTGTGTTGCATTGCCCACATCTACTCGCAGGACACGCAGGACCGTTTATACATCCCACCAGTTATTGGAACTAGAGAAACAATATACGGAATCGAAGTTCTTGACCAGAATAGTCAGGATAAAACTGGCATCATCACTGAATCTTTCAGAGAAAACAATCAAGATATGGTTTCAGAATCGAAGAATGAAAGACAAATCAGCAGCTGAAAGAAACTCTTCTCTGGCTAGCGCTAATGGTATTCCTGAAGATGCTGCTCAAACACATTCATCACCAGAATATATCAATGGATTCCTCAAATCAGAGAGCTACCCCGATAGAAACGATTGTATTCAATCATTTGACCATTCACATTTTATTGGTGTAGGATCCAGTCAAGCCACTTTCAATGCCTTTCCTGAACACAACACACTTTCTCCAATAAAATATTCACAGTTTAGTCAATCTGACATTCCCAAACAACCTAGTTCGGCCACACTATCATCACAGGTCATCAAATATGAAATATCTAGTGACAACCAAATAGGACAACCAGACTACAGCACAGTCAACCAAGTTCACTATCAATCAACCGAATGTGGAAGCTATCATATGCCTTGTTCTCCAGTCAGTTCCTTTGAGTCGTTTCATAGCTGTGATGCTCGTTCTCCAGCAGGAGCTAGTTTCTATGATAATATCATGTCAGTTTCAAATTATATCCAGGAAAATCCAGATTTAGTCGAGGAAATAAGAATGAATGATAATAAAGATTTTGAAAATATGACAATCAGGCAACTAATGGAGTTATTTCAATTGTGTTGAATGTAGGTACCAATATCCGGCTATTAACCAATTCATTCCGCCCCTCCATTCCTTGATTTCTTAAATGAATAATACATATTATTAAATATATGTACGTATGATTTGGTATCTAGATAAAATCGAAGTGAGGTAATGATACAGTCAAATTTTACTCTGTACAGTGTAAATATTTGTTTTATATCCAACAACAACTGTCTTTCTGACATTGCATTATATAAATTTTTCATTTGTGATTTTCTTGAAATAAAGTGTTCCTTCATTCATTCATGGTTGTGTTTTGTTCCACTTCCAATTACTTATCAACTTTTTTGATTACGTTTACTGTGATATTGTAAACAAGAAGGTCAAAGAATGATGTAGAATGAAACATAATATACAGGCCGACTGACGAGAATCAGAATCAGAAATGCTGTTCCGTTATAGGAACATAATGAAACAGAAGTACAAATGTACAAATTTTCTTGGAGAGATGTATATTTTGAATATACATCTAGAAATACACTTTGAAAAGATCATCAGACATTGCCCTCAGGAAGTGTTAACCGAAGACACGTGTTTCGAGCTTTTTTATGTTCTGGTTCCCACGAAATGGGTTATCCTGTGATGTTCAAAGAACATCGTGAGAACCAAGGGAAATGAGGTAGGAATTGGTGATATTCTGAAATTTCTGGAGGTTATATGCCTCGAGAAACACCTCCCTTGGCAATGTATTCCAGAGCTTCGCTGTTCGTTGGATGAACGAGTCTTTGGAAAGAGATGTTCTGCAGGTCTCCAAAGTGACCACAAAAGGGTGCGAAGCCTCAACTCGACGGGTCATTCTCGCGGGGAATGCCAAGGGCGGTACAATCGTTGATAATTCAGAAGAGCATCGTCCATGAAAATATCTATAAAATAGAGCCAGATCGCCTAGTTATCTACGGTGTTCCAGAGAAGTGAGTGAGTTTGTAAGTGAGGCATCTTCCACGAGACAACTTGCCCTTTTTTGGACAGAATCCTATAGTTTCAGGGTATGTTTGGGTGCCGCACTCCAAATATGGAAACAGTATTCCAGGACAGGTCGGATCTGTGCCTTATAGATCATAAGCAGCTGAAGTGGAATAGCTCCTAGCCCGAAACAGAAAACCAAGTTTTTGTGATGCACTTTCAGCAATTGATCTCACGTGATTTTCCCAAGAAAGGTCATTGCTGATAGTAATACCAAGCATCGAAATGGATGTCTTCAAAGGTATGGTTACTCCTGGCATGCTTATGTTTGGCACAGTGAGATCTGCTTTTCTAGAAAAAATGCATGCTTGTGTTTTGTTTGCATTGAAATCTACCAAGTTATTGGATCCCCACTCGAGAATTGTTGCCAAGCCCATAATTAGGTTGTCAACATTTCTTCCTCGTTCGTTTCTGATTTGCATGGCTGGTATTGGAGCCCTAGAAGAGAAGGCGGTGTGGATGGTACTATCATCCGCGAAGCTGTGTACTGGACATGAAGTTGCTTTCAACAAATCGTTGATATGGAGTAGAAATAGTGTTGGTGCTTTCGGCTCTCATCAGTAGAGTGAGAGAAGTGCAAAAGATAGGCAACACTTGGTGGTTTCGTCATCCATCAAGTGTGGCCTGGGAACCGAGAGCCCAAAATAAGTGCTTGCGGTTAACTCTTCCTGAGGGCTTTGTCCAATAATCATTTCCTATAGTTTGCTCGAAAAGGTTCTCTCAATATCTCATTGATCTTCATTATAAAATTAGAAACATGGATAGAGATAGATAGTGCATATATTCTAAATCAACTAGAAATAAAAAAACAATGCATACACATTCTGGAATTTCAATATTTTGAAGATATGGATCGATACATATCGATAATAGGTACTTAGACTCGTTCTCCACAATTAGTATGATTTTTATTCACTTGGAATACACGTACCTGAATCTTTTTGAAATTGAAGTATGTGTTTCTTCAGTTGTTTTCTGAAGTTGTGAATATTCATCAGTGATTTGATAATTCCAGGAATGTTATTATACATGGATATAGTTCATCCCTAGCTCAGCCCTATCATTCACGATATGACCTTCCTTGACACCCTGTATCACAAAGAACTCCATTAATTGGAAGATCAGAACACTCTCCATGATAGATCCTTGAATGATATTCACCTCTTAAATATGTTCATATCGCATTCTACTAAAAAAATATAGACTGGGTGTTCCATTTGAAGAATGGATTTACTGCCTCATTGAGGCTAGATAACCCTGGGATATCCTCTTATAATTTGATATCTACCGATGACTTCAACTATACGAGGTGAAAAATGACTTCATATTATTATATAAAAGTTGTAAGATTTTTCATTTTGGCTTTTTTTGAGTGAAAGAATGCGATTCGCAACGTATGAAAAACAGTTCAAATCAGATTATCTGAATGGAACACCTGGTATATTCACAATTTTCGTGAAAGGTATTCTCCTAATATGATTTGCTCATGTTTCCTCGAGCCGTTTTCGACCAGATTTTTGCTGCACTACTGAAATTTTTGCGATAGAAGTCAGAAAATGCCTGTTTTGTATGTTATTGGCGCAACTTCGATTGAATGCTAGTTAAGTGAAAAATTGACTGAGGAAACACTAGAGAAGGATATATTTTTGTGAACAGGAGGAAAATATCTTTCACAAAAGTTGTTGTATATACAAGGTATTCCATTCAGAACAAAGACTGATTTGGACTCTTTTTTATATTTTTCGATTTGCATTCGTTTATAAAATGGGTGCCAAAAGATAGTACGAATGATACTCAATAACTTTCAAACTCGAGGTTTTTTTTTTACTTCGTACTGTTGAAGGTGTAGGTGAGGGTCAAATTATGCGGGGACACCCTGTTAATACACTACTTTGAGCTCCAAACTTCATCACATTGTTTTTCACAGAAAAAAGAATACAGAAACATATCTGCAACTATTCAGAACTGAACTACCGATGATTTCCCATAATACGTACACTCAGAGAAGTTCAAGGGAGAATAAAATATTCTTTCTATAATAAAAATTATTCCCTTTCATTTGAATGACTTCGAAACGGGAATTCTATTTTGAGCATCATTTGCTATGTCCATCCAATCTTGAGGACAGAAAATAATCGACTATCTTTCTCTATCAATCCAAAATCTGCATCATTTGGTAAGGAAGAATGAAGCTATACTTGAAATTTGTGGTCTATTGTGTGACACCTCATTGCAGGATCTTGCACTAACTGAAGCAGACATGTTAAATTTGGTCTGATATCACTTAAGTTTACAGAGGGCTTAATGGGATAGGTCCATTATCCATATTATTCATTCTATTTCCAAAGACTATGACGAAAACTACGTCAGCAGAAAAAACACACCAAACCTTGAAAAAGAGTAAATAAAGATAGGTTCTATAGCTAGTGGTGAAATATCATACATATTCTTGTTATAGTATGCTACTGACCCAGCATTCGTGGACTTGATCCACTCTTGAACTGAAACATATACAGTATGATGCAAATGTATGGAATAAATTCATTATTTCAGAAATGGGCGAGATTTGAAAAAATTCCAAAAACACGTGTGTTTTAATTTCTGAAGCCTCATCTCATGATATTCATATGAGAGATGTTACGTCACCGGTGTTGGAGTAAAGACGTAATGGACGATTTTTTCAAATACAAATAGGGGTCATGTGACACCTTGATTGAAAGGTCTACCGATCATCTATTCAACAGTCAAAATGTTGCATAAGAAGATTGAAATTAAAATGGATTATCATGTGATTAATTGAATCTTGCAGAGGTCTGCTACTGAGAATTGATCATCGAAGGGTCGTCTAGTTAAAAAAATACGTCGAAAAAAAAGTTCTGACCTCTAGTTTTTGTTTTTTTTTTCGAAAGTCGTCTTGTTTTGAAATGAATTTATTCCATACATTTGCATCATACTGTATATATATATGGATAATATCAGAATGATAGGAGATGGAAGATAACATGCAGGCCCTTGAATATACAAAAAGGACTTGGATCGTTGAATGTGTTGAACTTCAACGTATTTCAAGGCATGCATGACCCATATTATCTGAAAAAATTGCAAAAGTGGACTTAATTGAGCCACTTCTGTTCTGAGCGCCCCAATTATTTGATTCAATCATCAATCATGTTTTTTCTGTAACGGAAAGAAAGTTTGGCATTTCATCTCTGTTGGCAGGTTATAAAATGTCACTTTTCATAAATTACTTTTTTCCCGTGGGAAAAAGTGAGTAGGTACTTATTTCCCGGATATATATCACACATAAATACACTGTTGATGGCTTTTGTTGTGCTATACCTATAGTTCCGAAAAATTAGTCAATAATACCTTCTCTGAGAAAGAACTGCAAGGTATTTTATCTTCCATTCGACTTCGCGGTTACGTATATTACTGAACAACCACTTAATTCGCAATTTTTTTAAATCAAATCACAGAATTAGACTGACAAAAATGACATCAAATATTTGATTACTTGAAAAGAATGATACAGATGCCTACAACGCAGGTGTCCCTACTGTTGAAAATTTTAAATTTCAAGTTGACAATTTTCAGATTTCAAAATAATGTAATATCTTCTCAATATTGATTCGTCCTTTCTTCTGTCACAGGAAATAATAGTGTTTTATACACGTGAAAAATATTAGATATTGCTCACGGTTTCTTGTCTCAGAGACAACACAACCTGGAGCTAAAATCTACTACTTTTTGCCCTTGTGTAATAAATTACTATTGAGAAATCCATTGTGAGTCCTTTTTCATCGTGAGCTAGATGATAAGTTACAATAGCGTAAGCTAGACATTGCCGCTCAACATTTTACTTGTATTGTAATATGTACATTGCAAGAGCAAAAAAGGCAATTCCTCATTATTATTATTATGAGTTTGTTTTGAAATGGATACCAACTATCAGTTGAAAAATTCTGAAGAGATGATTATGGAAATATCTTCAGTGATAATCGTTTGTATATCTTTCA